TTTATCATATCTTTGCCATGTTTTAGTAATTTAGCAATTACTTTCTTGTTGGGTATAATTGTGAATTTTCTTATGAAATATTTAAGTTAGCAAGTTTCACCCCTTTTGATACTACTTTTTACTGYTAAGTTTCAGGCTTTAATCCAGTCTGTCACGATCATTTCCATAAAYAACTAGACTACTGGGTTCAGACCCGAGGTTTTTCTGTGTGGGGTTTGCATGTTCTCCTGCRTGTGTTTCCCTGGGGTACTCCCGTTTCCTCCTGCAGACCATAAAACATGCATGTTAGCCACATCCTGTGGAAAAGATCTCAATGGATTTTGCTTGGTTAAATAAAGGTAAATAGAAGTAATAAGTTTGTTTACATCAGCTTACTGAGCGTACATAATCATGGTGTTTTTAGAGGTCTCACCTCTTCTGTAAAAATAGTGAAAAATTGAGCAAAGATAATAAAGCATGCTTTCAGTTTATTAAATGTAATTGTCATTATTACTGTTGTAAATTGTCTCCTCAGTTTCACTGCTGTTTCAGTTTTAGCACATATAATTAATAGTGATAAAAAATCATCATAAGTAAGTTCATTCTTTCTGAAGGAAACAGAAATGCTTGCACCWTGTGTTTGGTGGTAACACATCTTCTGGTGATGAGGCTCAGTGGATCTGTCAGCCGCAGGAGGTTTGTCCTATAACTTGCAGCCAGAAAAAAACATCATTCATTATTTATTTATCTGGTTATTTTTGACCCACTCTGCTTTCTGTGTTTTATCTAAAAGACAGATGTTATGGAACGCTTCACACGTCATCCCTTCTTTGGGACCGCTCCAAGCTGAGGTCTCTCTTCTCCACCTGTGAAAATGTCTTTTTGTCCAACAGCCTCGGATTTAAACTCCCGATGGCGTCACAGTGTTGTGTCCACCAGGCGGCTCTTTTTCAATTAGCAGCTCTCAGCTGGATCATTATCACTCAGCGGTGTGCCTGTCTGAGGAAAGTTAGAATTAATGAATTCTGTCCAGTCGGTTAGATGCACAAGGTTAAAAAAAAAAGCACAGTTCTTTCTGTCATTTGCAGTAATTCGTTTTACACAGCTCAGATTTTTATTTTTATAAATGACAAACTAACAAAAATCTGGTGTGGCAGCGAACAGAAAGAGACACGGAGGAGAACCAGACTGGACATGGAAGCCACAATGTCAGAGGTGAGGTGAGGACTGGGGCTGATGAAGAGACCGGAGACAGGTGGCTTAATGATAACAGAGAACAGGTGAAGGTTTGCATGGTCGTATAGAGCAATGATTCCCAACCAGGGGTACGTGTACCCCTTGGGGTATGTGAGCATATTACAGGGGGTTCGTGGAAACATTTCACCAGGTATGTAAAAAATAATAATAAAAAAAGGACTGAGATTTGTAGGGCCCTGCCACAATGTGGAAATTGTAGACGGAATAAGAGCATCAAAACAAAATTGAATCCAGTATAAATTGTGGAAACTCATAATTTGCTCATTTTGGTGAGTTTCTCACATATTTTGGACAATACAATGTATTTTGGACCTGTCATTACTTGGTTTATTTATTTAATTACTTATTCACTTTCAAGGCAACATTTTTATCTTTATGTCTGATTTGAGTTGAAAAAAAAAAAATCCTGAAAATTAAACGTTCTAGGGGGTTAAATAAATAATTTTCATTYAACAATCAGTTGWAGTACATTATAGTTTTGGAGAATCATCATTATGTTTGACTGAAGGGGTACTAGTGGTATGACAAAATGGCTCAGCGGGTACACAAGTCTAAAAAGGTTGGGAAGCACTGGTCTAGAGAAGAAGAAACTAAAAGCTGATTCATACTTACATTTTTACATCTTACTCACTGTCATGATGAAAATTGTGTAACTTCCGTCTTGTTATCTCTGGGCCCCAATAAAAAAAGTATCTCTTAAGTAAACAAGCATCTCTTCTGACAGCTGATAGAT